CAGGTTCCAGCACATGCCAAGGCATACCAGCTACTTCCATGTCATAAAGGCTTAGTCATGTCTCTTGACCAAGCAATGAGCTGGTGCCCTGACAGGTGTTTGATGCCAGGGATTTCTTGCCAGGCGATGTGTGTTTGGAGGTGCTGGCAGAGGGTGATGAAGAGGAGGGCTTGCTGGATGGTGAGTCATGGCAAGGAGTTGTGTGCTGCTGAAAGCTGGCAAATGAGGTCAAGGAGTAACATGGTGGGTGGGGGAGTTGGTATGAGGAGAGGAGGGGAGGGGAGTCAAGGGAGGGAGGAGTCAGCAAGGGGAGTTGAGGGAGGGAGGAGTCAGTGAGGGGCAGTGGATTAGTAGTAAGCTCAGCTGGTTGGACAACAATGAGCATGACTGGTGCTGTTTGTCAGGTATAGTAGATAACTGGTGGCAATGTACATAATGTAGGAGTACAATAGAATAATATTATGTCAGCTGAGTAAGATATGTACAGTAAGAAAAAAACACTGCCACGTACCCCGTCCAGAGTCCAGAGTCCAGAGGACCCTGCCCCAAAACTCGTATGTACTGAAATGTATGCGTTTGCTTGGAGGCTAGTGAATTCATCATAACACTGCGATCCTTTACAACATAGAAACCAGTAGACAGTACAGAAAATTCAACAGTACATGTATCCATCACGTTCACTCTCAATCTCATTTATTTGAAGATTGTCCAGTTCAGCAAAGTGAAAAACCACGTTACAATACCAACACCCCCTAATACACCATCAACCTCACCAGTACTCACAAAGCAGAGAGCAGAGATCGCACCCACCTGACCCCTCGGCAGCGGCTTGATACTCCTACACCAAGGCATGACCTCTTGCACGAGTTCCCTCATCGCCGCAGTGTTCAGGACCCGCTCGACGAGCGCATCGGCCTGTTCGACGCATTTCGAGCAGTTCCAAAGCGAAGGGCCCATCATACCCTGCGTGTCCCTTCGCAGGAAGAGCTTCTTCACAGCCCCCGGGAACGTCTTCTCCCCCCCGCATACAGCAGGGTCACGCAGTACGACCCGCAGGTGCTGGCTGATCCGCTGGAGGGAGCGACACTCCGATGTGCAGACTTGCGAGTGATGGTCCGCGAACGCCTTGGTATAGAGATGATCGCGCGCTTTGTCCCTCGCGTGCAGGAGCGCCGCAACGCGGTCATCTTCCGGGAAGGCATAGGCGATGACGCGCAGATCCTCGACGTCCAGAGGCGTGGACTGTAAGCAGATCCCCACGCTGCCTGCTACCACGAGCTGGGGAGTACCGTGCCTCGTCCCCAAGTCGAGGGAACGCTGCCAGCTCAGGTTGTGCGGGTTAACCGGTGCCAGGAGCTGATGGACGACGTGCATGCGTATATCGGCGAAATCGTACTTGTCCGCAAGGCGCAGGAGCATGCAGAGCGTGTCCATCGCGTAGGAGGAGATGGAGAAGTCCAGTCTAGGCTGGGTGAGCCTGGCTCAAGAGGAAGAAAAGGACTGACGAAGGGTAGAGGAACTCGAGGAGCACGTCAAATTCGGCCCGATCTTCGGAGAGCACTACGGGGTTCTCGTCCGAGCCGCCCTCCTGCTCCGCAGAAGGAGGAAGGGCGAACATCCCCCTGAACACGGAGGAGCAGGAGAGGAAAGACTGGTGGAGGTTGTACAGTGTATTTTCGATCTGGACGCGATTAGAGCGTGGTTGGAAGGGTGGGAGGGAGGACGTACGCGAAGAACGATGCTCCCGTCGGAGAAATACCACTTGGGATGCCGGTGTACGCCTTCCTCTGCTGGTTTCTGTCCTTCTCCCCCTACAGAGCCTCCTCCGTTCTCGGCGTGGTCGAGTTTCATCCCCTCTGTATCACCTTCCATCTGCGAGTGAAGGTACTTGAGGATGACGATCGCCGTTACTCTAGCAAGCGAGTGCCGATCTCCAAACTATGGAACAACGCGGGACTGAGAGAGAAACAGAAAGGAAAAGACAGGAATAGAGGGACGAGGGTGAAGAGTGAAGAGCGTGCCAGGGCCATGGCTGCGCGCCTATTTCCGTTCTACCCGACACATCCCTTCTGGCAAAGACGTCCCACGTGCACGAACAACTGCATATGCTTCTTTCCCAATGAGTTTGTCTTCGTCTAACATCTTAGGACGAAGATACGATCGAGAAATGCACCGTGAGGGTCAACCCGCGAGTGCATCCAGAACAAGTCTTCAGAGCCTAATGCCGATCTGACGCACGCTTATATATTCACCCGTCTCCGTGGTGTCTGCTTCTTGCCCACGTCGCAGATGTCGCAATCCTCTGTCAGCAACTCAATCGAAAAACAACTTGCTAGCATCCTCAGCACATCACAAAGCGGCTCAAGTTCTGCCCGGATGAACCGGTAGAAGACAGTGGCAACCTGGATAAACCTAGATAACTATCCATGGAGTGCCTGGACAACTCGATCGCAATCATGGAGCAGGGCGGAGGGGGCGCAATACTGTCATCCGACCATGTCGGTACATCACGTCATCCGTCGAGCGGTATTTCAGTCCCGCCCAGTCGCTTGCTACCCCTCTCTTGCACGTAGCATCCGCACCCAAGTCTCGAGGCCATCTCATACTCTTGTTTACTCTACGATGTCTCTCCCGCAAGTACAAAACGCATATGCTTGTCTCACACTTGGCAAGGCTGGTATCCAATCCAAGCCCCTGCCTGTGCTTGATGCGACAGGAATCCTCGTCAAGATCAAAGCTGTCGCGCTCAACCCTACCGATTGGAAGCACCTCGACCGCATGCTAGAGCCGAGCCAGTCGATGGGGAGCGATTTCGCGGGAGATGTGGTCGCTGTTGGGGAGAGCGCGGTTGGTAAAGGCGTGAAAGTGGGAGACGCGGTTGCAGGGTATGTTCGTGGTGGTTACGCGTTTGGGGATAAGGACAATGGGGCTTTCCAAGGTGCGAAGTTCTCTCCTCGTGCCCTTCCTTCAGTTCCTGACTTGAATACAAAGAGTACATCCGCATTTACCCAGAGCTCGTCTGGCACAAACCGGCTTCTATATCCTACGAACAGGCCGCCGCTCTATCCCTCGCTGCTGCCACTGCCCAGCAAGGCTTGTACATCAACCTACACGTACCAAGCCCCTGGAGCGGTAAGACTGGCGGTCCTGCCGTGCGTTGGTTTTCCTTTCCGTATACCAACAGTTACTGACAGGTTTCGCCTTTGCGGTATATGATAGATCCTCATTTGGAGCGGGGCAACGTCCGTTGGCGACGCAGCAGTTCAGCTCGCCGCTCTTTCAGGACTCAAAGTCATCGTCACTTCCTCCCCTTCCAACTTCAGCTATCTCAAGTCCCTCGGTGCGACCGAAGTGTTCGACTACTCTGATCCGGACGTGGTTGAGAAAGTGAAGGAGGCGAGCGGGGGAGGAGTTGGCTGGGCTTTGGACACATATTGCGAGAAGGGGTGCACGCTGCTCTCTGCCAAGTGCTTCGCGCCCGAAGGGGGCAAGATCACCACGCTTCGTATGTCATCTCGCTAGTTTTTGCAACAGGGAAACTCACATAGGACATCTCTCATAGTGCCCATCAACCCAGAGGACTATCCCGACTGGCCCGCGAACGTGACCCTCGAACGCACCCTGATCTACACCGCCCTCGACCCCAAGAACGCCGCAGAGTGCGCCGGTCTGGAAGAATGGTACACGCACCTCCCGCAGCTTGTCGAGCAGGGAAAGGTCAGGCCCCAGCCATTGAAGAAGTTTGAGGGCGGCTTGAGCGGGCTCACGGAGGCGCTGGATTATGTGAGGACGGGAAAAGTGAGGAGAGAGAAGGTTGTGCTGAGCTGGGAGTAGAAGAGTCGGGGATACCGAACCTCGATCACCGGACGCTTATATGTATGAGTTATGTTTTATTGCTGCAAGTGTTTCTTGTGGCGGCTGCAGGAAAAGAACATGTATAAATGATATGCGGAGACCATTCCAAGTACGTGTTGGGGATAGTCGCTTCCATTGGCCAGATTTGCTTTGAAACTGATACCAAACCGAGCTAATACCCCCTGTTCTCAATGACATCATCACAAACGGTTTCCTGCATTCCTTGGATAAGGTTTGGCAACTTCAAAGTCTATCGCCGTTTCCTCCGTGGAAGTTGAAAGCTTCGGTCGGTTTATTTATGTGGTCCACTCCTTGAGCAACAAGTCGCTGCTGTATACTGTACTCTCCTTAAGTACCTCTTCAATGTCGCTTGTTATAATCGTGACGGAAGGGCGATGCGACTCAATTCCCAAGGAGATGGCATGTTCTGTGCAAATATTTAGCGGTGACGTTAGTGGCAGTCACGAACGCTTCCTTTGCGGACGGGTAACTACTACGTTGAGGACCCAGCAACGGTTCATTATCTCGGCTATCAAATGCCTTCGAACTCTGTAAAGTAAGCATGCTGCATTCAGCGATCGCGGGAGGTTGATTTCGGGCGACCGATCTCACCCCGAACACAAGCTTGTGAGGGAGAACGAGGCGCACTTCCACCATGCCGTCCGCGGACTTCAGGGACACCATCCATTTCTTTCATGGTCGGTTCCCTCTTTCACAGTTCTCTCGCGGGAAGAGGCTGCCTTCTGCCGCAAAGATTCTTTCATGGGTTAAGTCCTCCAAGTCGGACCGAGATCGTGCCGTAAGAAACCCGTAAGGAACCAAACGGTGCCTATCTTGGTGAGGAACCGTGAAGCCTCGCGCGTTCGACGTGGGAATTCCCCAGTTTTGGCATTATATTCTTGATCGTGACTTTCAAGAACAAAGTTCGCGAGCCATTGACAGTTGTCATTTAGTTGCGGCAGATCATGTAGCCCATGGTGCGGCAACACAGAGGCGAGTCAAAGAGCGGCCAATGATGAAGATTCTCTTGTACTGAATCAACTGCACGAGCCAGCGGGCAAACTCGACCAGTGTCTGGGCTGAGTCTCGACCGTGAGAAGGTCGCAGTACACCTCTGCTTCACCTTCACTTCCATTGAAGGCAGGGACCTTGTTTCTCTTATGACGACTGGAAGCCTACCGTGAGAATCGTCTTATCTGATTCTGCGTCATCATAAGCTTCCCTCCTTCGTGTCCCGTGGATATCGGTGCTGGCTGAGATATTTGCCAGAATGAGGTCGTCTTAAAGTTCTCCAAAAACGTGTGTTCCTCATGTTTCCCTCCCTAAGCGAAGAAGATATGTTCTCAATCACAAGGCGGTCGGATGATTGCACTCCTTTATCTTCCTTAAGGCCGTCTTAGTCGCCGCTTTATTCGATCTCGAGGAACTTCCGGAATTCCTACACTGGTGGTGATATGCTAATTTTCGGGATTTTTGATCGCTGAAAGAAGGTCAGTATTAGTTTCCCCGATGCTCGCTTGCTCGGTATCTCGAAAGTGCCAAGTGCCAGGACCAGTCGTAGATCCAACGACATCTCATTCGGAAGTTTCGAGTAGACTTAGCATCCATAGCACAAACGGCATGAAAGGCGCCAAAAATTATTCTTCGAGGAGCATCCAGATATAGAGCGCGGCTTCCGCGGGGAACCCAAATATAGCAATTTAGAGAAGCCGCCTAGGGATCCGGCTCTATTCGTTCGTCTGTGGAAATAAAAGAATGAAGGTGAGAATGCACCAGCTGGCGTGGGCCGCAGATGCAGAAGTTCCCACGCGGCGTAACCTGAAACATACAGGTTAGACTTGAAGCCACAGAAAGCCTCCTCTGTTTGCGGCTTCATACACGTGGGTTGTGCATGGAAAACTCACCAATGGTTCGACAACTCCAAGGATAATACGGCCAAACGACCGCCCTGCGCAGCAACTGTGATAAATCCCCACAGAGCAAGGGCCGAACTCGTGTGACTGCGAAAAGGATGTCCCTGATGTCGACAGGCTGACTTTCTTCACTCTTCGATGCAATGACCCACCGCTGTCCCAATGAGAAATAACCAAGGCCCAAAAAGACTATTCGGAGTTCGAGCGGTGCATCTTATAGGCCGAGGTGGCCGGGATTTCCACGGTGTGAGCGAAAATAGTAGGTTGATTGGACAATTGTCAAGGTGAAAGTATGTGATGGCCCAAACGCTGTAATCATATGTCAAGCAAAGGTGGTTCGTCTGCCAGGATGAAGAACCTAATGCCGTCAGTCAGGGCCAGAACGCTTCGGCCATTTGCCCCTGGTCAGATGCTGCCCTGCTCAGGTGACTGCGATGGGCTACGATTAGCCAAATTGCGACATCGCTGTCGGATTTTGGGGGCATTACCATGAGTTGATGTCACGAAAGCTGAGAAGTAGCGGCGGAATGGAAGAGTAATACGCCGTGGTTCTGCCCCAAGTCCTTGACAATTGGAATGCGGTCCGAGGACATACGATTATAGTCTAGCAATGCATCCCAACTCTGGGTATAACGGACCCGGCGTCGGTCGAGCGAGCCGAATAGCGTGCAACGAAGCGTGTTCAATCGGTTGTTGTATGCATGTGTAGCCGATGATGGAGCGGATCGAAAGAAACGTGAGTGAGTAAATCCAAGATAGCGGATGCGCCAGCGATGATGACAAGTACAGAAAATAAATAGCACGAACCGGCAGGATACAAAGGAAGGCACAGCACGTGGCTATCCAGCGCGATTAGATGCGGTCGGAGAAATATAGCAGTCACGAACGAAGATAATGCCTTCCGCCGACAGAGGACCAGAGGGAAGTTTGCAGAATCCCGCGGCGCGAAGACACAAGAAAAGAAACGTAGTCCATGTATGACATGCGGTTCACGATAAGGTCCCATTAGGTTTATGCGCTCGTTGTCGTTTCGTCACTCTGAGTGCAAACCGAGCTGCCAAGTCGATTTCATCGAAGTCAAGCAACCAAATCTATCACTGAGGAAAGAGGCATCATCTTGACTTTTACATAACTGGCGGAATAAATGTGAGCGGTACCGAACGGGCGCGGGCCGGGGTTCGTCCGGGACGACCACCAGCATTCCGTGACGCGCCGAGGTGACTCGCATCGAATACCCGAGCGCTTCGGAGAAACTGTCGGGTAGGGCGGCGGGAAGAGAAATTCGCGGGGAAGACAGCGGGAGAGCCCTCTGGTGTGGAGGCGAAACCTCTGAACAATCACGGAACGACCAAGACGGGACGTTGCAATTCGCCCACTGTCAGACACTGGCTGCCTTCGAGACTGGGCGACCCCCTTTTCCCTGGCGAGCCTCCACCACTGTCGGAACTCGGGCTGAGCTCGACTGAGGCTGCTGCCCGCTTGGCTGCGGCACGATGGAAATATCCACTACTGTTGTTATCATCCGAGCTCCCGGTCTGTTGTCTGCCCTTTCACGAGTCCGCATCGCCCTACTGCTCAATCAATGCCCGGCCCCCTCCAATCACGCACTTATCCCTTCTTAACGAGTTGACTTGCCTAGTTCCTACTGCTTACTTGATCCTTCTTCTTCCTTTCCTACCACTCCTTCGCATCATCATTGCGTGGACACTGCCTTCGTGCAGCACGGGCAAGGTGACGATCCCACTCGACAGAATATCCGTCGCGTTCAGCAGGACTCCTCTACACCTTCCACCGACGACCAGCCCAGGCGTGTCCCCCATCCCTCGGCCTTCGCACCTTCGTCCTTGCGACTTTCCACTCTCGTGTACATTCAACCGCAACTCCTCTACATGGCATCTGCCGCAACCGCTTGCCCTTCTTCTCCTGTAACACATCCTTCGCCGGGCCGACCGCTCTCCGGGCACGGCTTACCCAATACGATAAATACACGCAGCGTCTCCAAGCCTGTCGCAACCTCCCAGCTCAACTCATCAGCACTCCCCGCGACCTCAACAACCTCATCCGCGTTCTCCCTAGCCTCCCTTCCTGTGCACCAGCATCCAGGCTCTCCTTCCCCAGCAACTATAGCTCCAGTCGCAGTTGCTCCCCCAACCTCTCAACCGCAATCCGTGCCACTCCCGACCCCCCCTGCCACATCGCTGAATTCTACACCTAGCTCCGCTTCCGAGTCGACACAAGCAAGTCCAAGTCCCGCATCGACTCCATACGTACCACCATATCCTCCCCATTTATATCGGAGCCGTACTCAGAGAATCATGATTGACCCCACGGATCCAGTGAGGAGATACCAGGCACGTACAATCACACCCCTGTGGAATGACATGGCCTGACGACAATACAGCCTAACCAGCGTGTGCAGCTCAAGTTGAGCAACGGTACTTGGATAGCAGCCACGATTACGGATATCTCTCGCGCTTCCCCTAGTGTGCGTCCATCATTCCTTGTGCTCCTTACTTCGAATGCTCACACTATGCTCAGGCTGCTACACAAACATATACGGTTGAATATGTAGCTGGTGGCCGCCGGGAATGCACTAGTGTGGGACCGAGTTATCTCAGGCCTGTGAGTTGATGGCCTTCGGAATCATACCTGCCGACGTTTGACTGCGCTCGCCAGTGATAGATCAAAGCATAGTCGCGATCTTGATGCTGCGAACATTTGACACGGTAGTTTGGCAACCAATTGTGTTCTTATCATGACCACCCCTAACACCTTTCCTCTTTCATCTCCCATTCTGTATCTTTTCGTTCGCTTCTTGTGCTTCCTTTCTCTGGGAACAATGAACATCACGTGTATCTTTATCACAGTTCTCGGAGTTGTCGATGTACAGCACCTATCCATTTTACCCCAGTTTGCAACATTGCCAGCCCATAGCTATGAATCGCAGTTTGTTGGTGCCGTAGACGCAATTCCGATTCTCCACACGGGATTGCCCGCAGCGCAGGAGATCAGGTTATCGAAGACTCCCGAAAGATGACCGCAGGTAAAGTATACATTTCTCCACAACATGCGCGTCAATGGTATCGCACAGCACCATCGGTCCGCCGGGCGCAAGGACAAATGGGGTTCAGGGCCAGATGCGGGATCCCGTGAGCTGAAGTGGACAATTCCATAGCAATCCACCTCGATCTTCACTCCCGCGCTCGTTGAACATTGAATTGAGCAGCAAACGCTCACTGCCGGTCCTTTGCCCGGCGTTTGCATGATCGGCAAGCCTGTTCCGAATCTAATCGGTAACTCTGACAGCGAACCTCCTATTCGCAGATCGGAGAATCTCAAAGGATAAACGTCGGATAATATTACATCGCTTCTAATGACACCGCGATCACATAAAAATCGCCGGATTAAATAGTCGGTACCAAGACTTGCTTGACCGGATGAAGAGGCGGTTCCGTAACCAAATTTATCAACGCGCAGGCGAGCGAATCGCCTTGAAATTCCAGGACTCCACGGCTCAGGAGAAGACGCCAGCATCACAACATATGCCCACATTCTTATTCAAGACATTCAGTGTTACTATACATAGGATGTTTACGTCCTATTCTCACAGATCAGACCCTCCCCCGACTGCTCAAGGACCAAGACCAAGAGCCTCCCGGCGGCTCTTTGACTTGGAATCGAAGTAGGGTTTCTCCGCAAGGGATGACACACGAGTTCCGTGTCTGCCGAATTCGCCTTCGTAATCCCATGAGACGGTATGAATGGAAGTGCGGTTATCCCTAATGCTTTGGTGTGAGCAGTACACAGGAAACAAGCACTATGACGTACCAAAGAGCAGACGTGCCCGGAGTCCAGTGCCAACGGACCTGAATATCAACATTACGCTCGTAAACGTCGTAAAGATGATTCAAAATGGCGTCGCTCTCCCTGCGATGTTTCAGCGACATTTTCGGGATATCCAATGGATGACGTACGCCTTGTCCAGTCCCTCAATGCCCACAGTCATGGCGCGATTGATGAACAAAGATTTCCAGCCCGTCACAGGGCTGGCACAAGTTAGGATCATGACAAGGTTCCGGAATGGATCGCAAAGCTCACTGGGTCCGAACTGGTATCTCGTTAGAATAAGTCTTCCGCTTATAGAAAGAGGGACTTGCCCAGGGGGTGAACGCGCTCCACAAAAGAAGGCGGCGCATCGGGATTCTCTTTGTCGAGATAGGCATGAGCTGAGCGGTATATCCCATTCAAACCGTCGAGGAGCTTGCGGAACGTGGGACTAAGCTTATCACTACCCGTCATCACGTGAGTAATCTGAAGGGAACCACCAGGCGAAGCGCACTATGCGGAATAGCCAGATGCCCAAAGTGTGTCACCGCCAACCTCGGGAACAGAATCCTGGTGAAGATGGGTAACACCAGGCGGGTACGGCTCATGGACAAGATCCTACGGATACACATTAATATGGTACTGCCAGTGGAACGAAAATGGCTGACTGTATGCCATCCATAGCTCCCCGAAGGGTACGCCAACCGGAAGTTGCGGTCGTTCAAATAGCTTGCGCGCTTAGGATCGCCGAGATGCCTCTGTGCCTCGTCCCAGATGAGGGATACTCCCGGAACGCCAGGCACCTGGGGCGCCTGGGGATGCACCTCAATCACTCCATAGTACTCGCCAAGCTTCTTCTGTTCCTGGGGAGAAAGATCTTGATCACGGAAGAAGACGACAGTGCGCTCCGCGATGAGCAGCGCGAGCTCGTCCTTCTGCTTGTCGCTGAGATCCTTCAGCTGAAGACCGACAATTTCGGTTCCTGTATTCTAGTCATGAAAGGGGCAGTTGAAGACGCATATAAGTGCTTGACATACCGATGTGACGAGTCAGGTTTCGGACCTCCTTCGCAGCACCGAACAGGGCTTTCTTCTCGGGATCGGCACGAGTGCCAGGGTCGACATATCCACGCTCCTCTGCGCGAATCTCAGCGACATCCTGCTTGTACTTGGGCTTGTCGGGCTGTACAAAAAGGCAGCATCAACTAAGCGCTATGCGTTACTTTCAAACTCACGTAGAAAGGATACCCCTCGTTGTAGTTGATGCCTGCTTTCTCGAGACGTGCGCGGGCCGGTGCAGGAGGTTGAGGAACCTCCTTCTTGACTGTGCCCTTGAGCTGCTGAATAACGTCAACTTTCTGCGGAGCAGGCTGCTCCTGAATCTCCGAGACGGAAGGTGCCATGTCTAGCTCCAAGTGCAGAGAGGGAGGCAGGGGACAAGATACCTTCGCAACCACGACCTTCGACTTTTATAGACGCAGGTCACCACAATGGCCAGCGATGTCGATATACTGCAGCAACAAGTCGAGTTCGTAATATCACTAAGCAGTTTAATCCACATCAGACTGGGAAGACGAGACTGGAGCACGTTAGGAGCACGCCATCCGGTATCATCATTGCGCATAGAGCCTTCGTTGAAGGAGAAAGATAAGAAAGCAGCAGCCAAACGCGATATAGACCGGGGATGAGGCCATCTTGGGCATATGACAGACCTCTTGCATTTGTCTTGATGCGCCTACAGATAGCGATCTAGTAAGTGCGGGGTAGGATGCAGAGAAGGGTGCGAATACCAAGAAAGGCAACGACGAGCTACAGGCAACAAATCACGCGAGGCATGCTCTTGCTTCCACCAAGCCAACCCCAATTAATTGCATACATACATGCCTGCAACTGGTGTGATCAAAATCACTACATGTTGTGATTATGAAGCGGAGATTACACTTGACGTCGAGAGCCCATGAGTGTTCGTGGTGTATAGTTCAGCGTAGCAAACGTGAGGAAGCAATATTACGTCTTGTTGACAATGATACATCTTTCAAGATGTTGTTGTCCGCTGGATGCATATACATATCCCCTAGCTCGTGAGAGTAGGGTTCTTACCCGGGTCGACTCGGGATCAAAACACTGACATAGATATGTTATGGTAAGTCATTGGATGGTAACTTCATGGATACTGATTGTTTTCTTGGCAATTAGTAAGATCTTTTTTTGTTTTCTCCCTCTGTGGTGCTCTTTTTCTTCTGCTTATCCCCTTCCTTCCATCATTGTGTCAAGTCCTCCTCTCTCACCATTGCTGAAGATTGGAGTCCTCTTGTTGTTCCATTCTGTTCTCTCTAATGAGTGCTATTGTCCAATCAGTCTGCTTCCAATCATTTGGGCTCTGATATTACTCAAGCAGAAAATCTCTTTTGTGCCTTGTTGGATCTCTCCAACAAGGATTCCTGGGAGCATACTGTATCCCTCTCTTTACCAGGTGTGTTGGAAACTTCCAGGGTACATCTATCTTCTTTCTGAAACCAATACTTCACCAAAATCTTTGTCTTCTATAGTCTGCTCTTGATATCATAGTGTCTGCTGACCCCTCCTGCTTGGATCAGTTGACTCCTCATCTCTGCCAGCTCATGGGTTGTTATTGGTGTATGACCATGGAATTGATGAGGGCTGGTCAGGCATCCTCTTCTGAGCCCATTGTGTCACATCTTGCTATGCAGTCTATCACTGGCTCTTCCTCTTCTGATGGGGTGTCGCATGTTGCCCCTTTATCAATCACTGTCTCTCCTCCTGCCTCTGGTGATTCCCATACAGCCAACGTTTCCGATTCGGTCCCTCTTTATCCAACTGGACATAGTCCATAAGTGATGTCACTCCATGTTCTTCTGTGTCTTATACAATCTATCATGGTTTCATTTAGGAACACATTAGCTCTGACTTCCACTGTTGTTGATGCTGCCTCTGCACCTGTCAGGGCACCAGCTCATTGCTTGGTCAAGAGACATGACTAAGCCTTTATGACA